CTGAGCAGCACCCAGAGGTTCCTGCTGCTTCAAGGGAGCTGTGCTCCTCAGGTCAGCTGTATCTCCCGGTCTTGCCATCCATTGTGCTGCTGTTCCTCCTGCTCTCCACCCCTCCTGCCACGCTCAGCATGGCCCACAGCCCCCGTAGCGCTGGCTCCAGAGCTGGTTGCAGGAGGAGGAAGAAGACAAGTAGTCCCCGTAGACAAGGGAGCCCTGCAGGCCCCTGGGCAGCTGGGGGACTGAGCTGCCCACAAAGCTCTCCTGAGGGCAGGAGCTGAGGATGGGGCCGGGGAAGGTGATGACCACGGGGGGTGGGTGGACCACAGCACAGGAGTCCTGGCAGGAGGTGACACAGGGCTGGTTCCAGGCACAAGTCATGGGCTGGGGACAGGTCACCTCGCAGGGGGGGAAGCAGCGGGAGCTGAGCTGCTGGTTGCAGAAGGACATCCTGTGGGCAGAGAGGTGCACCTGCAAGACATGGGAGGGCTGGAGTCAACCCACTGCCCACCAGGCACCACTGCCCCCAGCTCTGCCTGGCCAGCAGCAGGGAGGGCTCAGGAGGTGCCTCGGGGAGCTGCTCTGCTGAGCTTGGGGGCTGCTTCTCTCTCTTTCTCTCCCCCTTTCCCTCCCTCCCTCTTTCCTTCTGTGCTCTCCAGGCTCTCGGGGGGCTCAGCTCTGTCCCAGCCAGCTGGGAAACTGCTTCCAGGTGCACCAGCCTGTTCACCCTCAGGTGAAGAGTCCAAGCACCTGGACCCAGCCCCATCTTGGCTGAGCCTTTCCAACCTGGTGCAGCAGCTGCAGCTCAGTTTGGACAGAGCTGCCCACCCCTCCAGGGAGAATAAAAAAGGTTTTCATGCAAGGCTACAGGCTGGCAGACCGTGTGTGCCAGAGTTAGTTAAAAATAAAAAAAAACATAGTACCTAAAGAGGAAAAAGATTATGAAGGAGTCAGACTTACTTGGATCAATGAAGAGGAGACGTGAGGAGCTGTGGTCTGAGGACTTCAGAGCCAGAAGCCCTTTTAAACCATCTCCTGGATTGCCTGGGGCGGTTGAGACATCCCTTGTGTTTCACCCTGATTTTGTTACAAAATCAATGCACGTCACTCCCCAGGATGCTCTGATCATTTTATTCATCTTTGGACAATTATCAGTTTCTTCCAACACCCTCTTATTTGTTCCTTAATCCTCGGGAAGCGGTTTCGCTTCCTGCAGCATTTTGCTGATTTTACCAACATGGCAAAAATGTTGGAAAACTACTTTATTTACACCACTGCTCCTCACAATCAGCATTTTTCAAGCACTCCTCAGTATCTCAAGACGTGCAACACACTCTGGGCTGATTTGCTTCTCTAAATCCCTGCTGACTTTGAGCTGAAACACTGTAGGGCTCATCCTTGGAATAAAGATGTTGGATTTACTCCATCTGCCTTGTTCCTCAGCCCAGCTACACACCACAGGTCTGATACAGACACACTGAGGCACAAAAGTGGTCTGTTTTGTAAACTCTTTCAGATCTTCTATATTTTCTTTTGCCTCAGGACAGAAAACCACATCTCCACGTTCCCTCTTGTGTTCCTCTGAAGCCTTTGCACCTGATTTCTGCTGGCCAGCACATCCTTCTGGCTGGGGTGATGTTGTGACAATGTGTCTCATGTGAGGAGAACCCTTCAATAACCATTAAATTAAATGCTTTACTCCTTGTAACAGACCACCCAAATTTGGGGTCCAGTCCCATGTGCTTCCTGTTGTCCCCAGGGACAGACCCTGCTGCAAGAGAAGCCCCCGTGGCTGAAAGCAGAAGGAGCTGGACACAGAGTTCTTGACTTCTGCTGGAGATGGTTGCAATTCTGCACCTCACCCGGGTGTTTGCAGTGTCCTCAGTGATTCAAGGTCCCACCACCCACCTGCAGCAGGACAGAAAAGGGATTAAAAGTCTTGCACATTCCTTGACATTCCCAGAGAAAATTTAAGAATGGCTCCTAAGAAGGTAACAAAATCTTTGGAGTTAAAATATTGTGATGAACATGGATTGTGAAAACAATTTTGGAAACAGAAGCCTCAGTTTCTGTAACATTAAAATAATTAATAGTCATATTGCAAAGACAAGGAAATCAGCTGGGTGATTTCTAAAGAGGAGTCGGAAAGATCCTGACGAAAACGTGGGCTGAATAACACATGCTAACAGTGAGAAAACTATTTGCATGAGTGAGGAGATGAGGAGTGTGTAATCTGTGTGTTTAGGTGCTCATTAAGATCTTGTTCATGAGGTGTCACAGCCCATCAGGAGCCCGAGGAACGGTATAAAAAGGGCTCCCAGCACTGGGAGCTCAAACAGCTGCTCCTGACTTCTCCTCTTCAGTGTCTTGAGTACGTTTGAACTCAATTGATCTTTCTTTGAACATTGTGCTTAAGTAGGTTTAGCTGAATTTTTCAGAAATGCTCTGTTTGTCTTGCTGATGCCTCTTTTTCCCTTGAAATCACCCCCCTTCTGCAGGCTCTGGGAGGTGGAGTGAGTGGGGTTTGCTGCACAGCCTGGTGGTGGGTGATCCACAGCTTGTTTGCCACTTGGGGGTGGTCAGCTTGGGCAGTGCTGGGCATGTGGAGATCCTGGGAAGATAGTGAGGAGCTGCTGGGAGGGAGGGAGAGAAAGGGGGAGAGAAAGAAGCAGCCCCCGAGCTCAGCAGAGCAGCTCCCCGAGGCACCTCCTGAGCCCTCCCTGCTGCTGGCCAGGCAGAGCTGGGGGGGCTGCGTGGTGCCTGGTGGGCAGTGGGTTGACTCCAGCCCTCCCATGTCTTGCAGGTGCACCTCTCTGCCCACAGGATGTCCTTCTGCAACCAGCAGCTCAGCTCCCGCTGCTTCCCCCCCTGCGAGGTGACCTGTCCCCAGCCCATGACTTGTGCCTGGAACCAGCCCTGTGTCACCTCCTGCCAGGACTCCTGTGCTGTGGTCCACCCACCCCCCGTGGTCATCACCTTCCCCGGCCCCATCCTCAGCTCCTGCCCTCAGGAGAGCTTTGTGGGCAGCTCAGTCCCCCAGCTGCCCAGGGGCCTGCAGGGCTCCCTTGTCTACGGGGACTACTTGTCTTCTTCCTCCTCCTGCAACCAGCTCTGGAGCCAGCGCTACGGGGGCTGTGGGCCATGCTGAGCGTGGCAGGAGGGGTGGAGAGCAGGAGGAACAGCAGCACAATGGATGGCAAGACCGGGAGATACAGCTGACCTGAGGAGCACAGCTCCCTTGAAGCAGCAGGAACCTCTGGGTGCTGCTCAGCACCCACGGGAACTGCCCTTCTGCTCTCCCTTCTTAGGCTCTATTTGCTTTTAGTGTCAGTTTTCTTTCCAAAGTCTCTTTTCCATTCTTAGAAATCAAATGACTGACTCTGCAAGATCTGTCTCTCCCTCTGAAAGCACAAAAGCAGCAGCACCACTGGGAACTGCTCCATGTGTGGGGTTTTCTTCATGGTTTGGGACCAAGCACTTTTTCCTTTGGTAACTGGATGTTCAGTAGGAAAGATCCACGATGTCACCTCACACTGAGACCAGGGCAGTCAATGTGAAACTGGAACCCAGAGAGAAGAACAATGTGTGAAGAAGAAAGCACTTGGATGCAGATGATGAAGCTGGCTCTTTTTCAGAACTATCTTGTATTTTTCCTTTGCTTTGCTTCAAATGTGCACCTTTTTCTCCCAATAAACTCTTCTTGTTGCATCCAAATCCCATCTGTTTGTTTGATTTCTGCTGTGTTTTGGGGTAATGCAGCTTCTGCAAAGCACTGGAACAAACCACCCCCTTATCTTGGAGATCTGTAGATGCCTGTTGTGCTCTTACAGACTGTGTTTATACAATGCCTATGGATTTATTCATTAGGAAACTGCTTACAACATGCAGAGCTTGCCTGTGTGTCCCATTTAATCTTTACAAGAAATCAGGTGTGAAATAACTGCCCCACCCTGACATGAATTTTTCCAGATCAGTATGAAGTACTAACTAGCCACTCCAAAAATATTTTAGTAGCCCATCTTAACTTCCTCTGCCTTTCTCTGGGTTTTTGCTGTTGTAATTTCATATACTATAAAGGAGTAAGAAGGGGACTATTAGATTATGCTGTAATTCTGCATAATATGGACAAGTAAAGAGAGAATATTAGTGTACAGCAACAGAGGGAACTTCTCAGGGGCAGAAAGTCAGGTAGTACTGAAAATCCAGTCTGAGATACAGGAAACTTAAATCTATATCCCTTCTCTGAGCTTTTATATCTAACTGTCTGAGAACACAAATCTGCCTCAGCTGGGATCATTAAGGCCCAGGAGCAGATTGCTTTTCCTAGCTTAACTTCTTGTTACTGGCAGAACCCTAAGAAATAAAGAAGCAGAAAATTGGAGCCTAAAGAAGCTCAACAGAGTCACATTTCAAAGAGAAACTGAAAAAAGACTGGAATGAAGGAAAGTAGATATAGTTTACAAGAAGTAAAGAGCAGTGACCCAGCAGTGCTCAGGTGGGAGCAATGAAGAATTCCTGGGAGGTAAATCCAGGGATCAGAGGAGCAGCAGCTCAGCTGTTGCTGCCTCTCCCATCAACACAATTTAGCAGAGCTGAGCTCCCAGCACCCCTGGAGCTCCCCAGCTGGGTTGAAAGTGTTTAAAGAGGAAGGCAAAGGGATAAAACTGGGTGTGTAACGAAGATACAAGCTGCTTCCTTACCTGGACAGCTGGTTGTGACCTGTGCTGGTCTCTGTGCTCCTTGTGACTTTCCAGTTAAGTGTCCCATGGGCTCTTGTTTTGCTCTCTGTGTGTCTGGGAATGAAATGAATAATAAGCCTCCCTTTAATTCCCAGTATTGTGTTCTGTCTCCAGCACTGCAAACTGGTGCAGTATGAGGTGTACAAAGTGGGATAACCTCTTGCTGAGCAGAAGGCTGTGGCAGGTCACTCCACTTCTCTGTGTCTGCCTCAGTTTCCTTTTGTGATCCCATTGCTCTTAGTTTTACAGCCCCTGGCCTGGAGTGGAAAGATTCCCATGGGAAAGGAAAGGGCCAAGCAAACTCTGAGCTGGAATCAAAGCCTTGAAGGCACAAACAGAAGGCTGGGTTGGTGTCTGGAACACCAGCTGCTCTCCCATGTTGCAGAGCAGGGAGCTGGGCCTGGCCATAACTAGGCCCAAAAGGGGAGACACAATAACAACAAAGAGATAAACTAAAGAGTTTGCAGAGAAAAGGGCCTGCTTGGGGGTTTTCCCACTGTTTTCCTTTTCTTCTCCAATGAGAGATTTTGGAGGTGAAGTAATGTAATGCCAGCAGTAAATCCCTCTGTTGTCTAAAAGCCTGGTGTTCTCTCTGATTGGGGACAGTCCTGGACAGTCCCCAGGAGCTGCTGGACCTTCTCCTCTCCAGTGGGGACACCTGCTCAGGGGGTCACTCCTCAGAGGGTGAGAGACAAGGGACATTGGGCTGTG